GGCTGAGAGAGAGGGGGGCAAGGGGGTGTGGGGGATGAGGGGTGGGCGCAAGAGAGGGTGGTGAGGGGTGTGCGAGGGGGAGGGTGAGGGGGGCAAAAGAGAGTGGGGCGAGAGAGAGGGGGAAAGGAGAGAGAGAGGGAGAGACTGTACGAGAGTTAACTTCACAGTTCAATGATAAATCAAACATGCTAATGAATGGTCATCATCATAGAATCATAAAATCCCTGCAGTGTGGAAACAGGCCATTTGGCCCATCACGTCCATCTGGTCCACCAAACAGCATCCCATTCAGACCCACCCCCAACCCTATCCTTGTAACCTTGCATTTCCCATGGCTAATCCCTGGAGACTATGGGCAATTTAGCATAGCCAATCCACCCTAACCTGCACATCTTTGGACTGTGGGAGGAAACCGGAGCATCCGGAGAAAACCCACGCAGATATGGGGAGAAAGTGCCAACTCCACACTGAGAATTAGCCTTAATTTTGTCCTTCTCTCTGCACATATGCTTCCTCTGTTCAGAGTTTTGGTTTTGATTTCAATTCCAGCATCTGCAGTATGCTGTCAAACGTAAAATGGTGTGAAGAATTTTTTGAATTGCTTGGAATAAGTGGGACTTCTAACACATTATAAACAGCCTTTGTAATTGACTTCCAGGGTGTTTGCAAATGGTTAGTACTGGTTTGGAAGAATAAATGGCTGTCTCCCTTAACCATGGTGAGTAACAGTTGTGGCAACTGTACAGAAGCTAGAGACGACAGGACTTGCTCAAGTTGCAGAGAAACTTTACCTGAGTAATATCATGAAACTAGGAACTGCTCCAAAACTAAAAGTTAAAGCTGTGAGCACAGTGACAGCCATGAAGTAGCGGAAAGATTTTTCACAATCATCTCCCCTTGCGCACTGCCCCAGGTGGCTGGAGGAATTCCCAGCAGTCAATGGAGAAATGCAGCTGCAGTTGTGGAAAACCTGCATGGGTGGGAAAAGAAACAAAGGGACAAAGCCCCATAGAGTCAGTCTGGATTCACAAGGAGCTTATAACATTTCTGTCTGTCATATTGTAAACGTTTGAAGGATTAAAGGCAAAATCTTCTTCAAGAAAGCATTGGGGTCCAAGGCAAATGTGGAAATATTTTCTGTTCTACACTAACATTCATCAGGTTCCATGAATTGGGTCAGTTTAGTTTGGTACAATGGCAACACTTTGCAAATTGATGAATCTGCAAATTCACCAAAGATCCTCAAACAGCACCTTCCGAACCCACGGCCACTTTCATCTGGAAGGACAAAGGCAGCAGTTACATAAGAACATCATCGCCTTCAACTTCCTCTCCAAGTCAGTCATCATCCTGACTTGGAACTATATCACCATTCCTTCACTGTCGCTGGGACAAAATCCTGGAATTCCCTCCCTAAAGGCATTGCAGGTCAACCCACAGCACATGGACTGCAGCGGTTCAAGAAGGCAGCTCACCACCACCTTCTCAAGGACAACTAGGAATGGACAGTAAATGTTGGCCAGCCAGCAACGCCCTCATTCGACAAATGAATAAAAAAAATTAACTAATACCCACAGATACCCTACCTCAGTGCAGTGGGTTCAAAACAGACTGGTCAAGGAGGAGGCAGAGTCAAAATTGCCTCAGGCTTTGGTCCAAAGTTACAAAATTTGTTATACTTTAATTCTAAGTACTGCTGTACATGGTAGTCATAGATATAACAATCTTTGATCTTAGAGTTGCATTAAAAATTAATCTGTCTTCTTCATACATTCATATCCATATGCTATCTCATTCCCAAAGTGCTACTGATGCCTGGAGAGGTTCAGCTGTGTGACATCATCAAAAGGTTGCTCCAGGTCCCTGAAGGCCTTACACAACAAGTATCAGATGCTCTTGCATATTCTTATCAGCAAGGAAGCCTAAAAAATACATTTATAAATTTACTTCTTGGGGCTGAGCTCTGCCCTGAACTATCACTTACTCCCTCTCTGGTTTCAACTTGAAATTTGCTGTTCAAGGTATAATAACATTGTCAAACAAAACCTACATATTTAAGAATTTGACCTTGGTACAGGAAATCCACAAGAAAGTATCAAAGAGCAACTTCATATAACAGTTTGAAGGAAGCAGGACTGGCAAGATGAGGTGTGGTTGGAGGCACAGGTAAGGCAAGGGCATAGCTACCACTCATCATGTTTATTGTCCTGTGCCCAGTTTTGACCCGTTACTCAAACTGGGCTCCTTGTCTCTGAAAGTTTTTTTTGAACTTATCATACTTGCAGCACAGCCTGTGCCCTCTAGTTTCTTACTCTTCTGGACAAAATAAAAAGAAAATTGGTCATAGTTCCAATCATTCCTTTAGAATTTCTAGAAACAGCAGTCGTATCACCTTCTTTGTACTGCTGAGGCCATGTAAAACGTTGGCCAGACAGCATTTGGAAAATTGTGAGCAGTTTTGGGCCCCGTATCTAAGGAAGGATGTGCTGACGTTGGAGGGAGTCTAGAGGAGTTTGACAAGAATTATCCTGGGGATGAAAGGCAAATCATATGAAGAGCAATTGAGGGCTCTGCGTATGCAGAAGAATGTGGGGGTGGGGGGAGGTGGTCATTGGCAGAGGGATCTGATTGCAACTTACAGCGTACTGAAAGGCACAGATAGCATGGATGTGGAGAAGATGTTTCCACTAGTAGGAGAGACTAGGACTCGAGGGCAAAGCCTCAGAGTAAAGGGGCGACCCTTTAGAACTGAGATGAGGAGGAATTTCTTCAGTCAAAGAATAATGAACCTGTGGAATTCATTGCTGCAGAGGGCTGTGGAGGCCAAGTCATTGAATGTATTTGAGACAGAGATGGATAGGTTCTTGATTGATTAGTATCAAAGACTACGGGGAGAAGGCTGGAGAATGGGGTTTAGAAACAGCCATGATCAAATGGCCTTACTTCTGCTCCTATACCATATGGTCTTAAGGTACCACTGCTGCAGTGTTCAGTTGTTCATTGTTTCACGATGTGTGCCTGGCAAGAGTGGGGAGTGTGTGACTTGAGGACCCTGAGATGGGCAGTCAGCATTACCTAGAAGAACGGGAGATGTGAGTGCCTCTGACCAAGTGGTTTATTTCTGCTCCTATTTCATATGTTTGCATGTTCACTGTATGTGAATAGCCTGGGTACGGTTACTGAAAAAGACATGAAATTGTGGGCAAACAGTTGAAAATTTGACAGTAAACACTTAAAGCATTCAATGAAACTCTTATGTAGGCAATTAACCTGGGCTGTATAATCCCTGCATATCTCCAAGGCATAAAACACACCAGGAATGAGAACATACCCAAATCATAAAAACAGCATGTAATTCAATGTATAGATTCAATAATATTTGACCTGTTTATTGTGGATACAAAGTGGAGTATCAAGTACTAGTTCTGAAATTTGGACGATGGTAACTGAACTACAAATCATTGCATGTTACAATGATTCACTGTAATGTTAGTGCTCACTCTGCTATCATCGCTCAACTTGAAATATCAGCACGTGACACCCTCTGAACTGACTGGAAATATTTTGGTTAAGCCAACGCAGATCACAAGAGAGGGGACAGAGTGAACAAAAGCAGACTGTTTTCAATTGCCATGGAGTCAAGAAGAAGGGGACAAAGGACTAAAACAGAAGAAGAAATCTGTATGCAAAGAGATTTGGGAAGCTCTTGAATTTAATTGCAAGGTTTATAACTGAGGCAGAAACTATCAGTATCAAAGATGAGAATGTACAAACAGTTGAAAGAGAGCATATACAAGTGAAAATAGCAAATAAGTGCGGTTGGAATATGTTATCAGTGTTTGGGGTGTAAATGTTGACACAATTAATGCTGAGGTGCTGTTGTTGGACTGGGGTGGACAAGGTCAAAAATCACATGACATCAAGTTATTGTCCAACAGGAACAAAAACAGAAGTTGCTGGAAAAGCTCAGCAGGTCTGGACGCATCTGTGAAGAAAAAATCTGAGTTAACGTTCCGGGTCCGGTAAGGTTTATTTGAAAACACTAGCTTTCGGAGCACTACTCCCTCCTCAGGTTTAATGTGGAAGAGGAGGTATACCGACACAGAATTTATAAGCAGAAAGGTAACAGCCCTAAATATGGCTCGCTGACAGCCTCCTGTTGAATCTTTAATCAGACAGAAAGGAGACGCAGGTTTCTATTGATTAAAATGCAAATCCCAGAATTTCTTTCAACTTTGCCCTGAGATAATTAAAAGTTTTATCAATGTATACAAGCGGTGATATCTCAGGTCAGACAATGCATTTTAGGTGTGAGGCCTTGTTTCGAATCTGTCTGTGTTTTAACCTGCAGTCAGACTGGTTTATTTTTTTGAACAAAATAGAATGTATCTGCAAATACACAAACATCTTAGATGAAATACTTCACCCCATAGATTTATATGCGTGTGTGTGTGTGTGTGTGTGTGTGTGTGTGTTTGTGTGTGTGTGTGTGTGTGTGTGTTGGACTGTAACTTTGTGTGTGTGATTTTTGACCTTGATACAATTGGTTTGCCTGAATGGCCTGTTTCTGTTTTGTAACTGCAGTGTGGAAATCAAAGGCTCTTACCGTATTCTTCCCTGTTCCGGTAGACGTTGTGCAACCAGCGAGGCAGGGTGAAACAAACGTGACACCATTTCCAGCACAAACGGGCTCCCACTGTGTCAGTGAGCAGAAGCAGCCGGTATTACAATCATGATTCAGGCCACTTCCCTCGTAGGAGACCTGTGCAGAGCTGAGAAAACAAGGTTCATACAATCACACAGCAGAGGTAGTACTTAGCATGCCTATTGTACCAGTGGCACTCTCACTCACTGCTGCTCTTTCCCCATGATCTTACAAATTCTTTCCCCTTCAAGTATTTTTCTAATTATCTTCTGGAAGTTCCCATTAAATGCACTTTCAGCACCCTTTCAGGGAGTGCAGAACAGACTACTTGCTCTAGTTAATATCTCCTCATCTCACCTCTAATTCTTTTGCCAATTTACATTAATCATACAAACGCTACAGTGCGGAAGCAGGCCTTTTGGCTCACTGAGTCCACACCCACCCTCCAAACAGCATCCCATTCAGACTCAACCCTGTATTTTATCCCTGTAATCCCACATTTCCCATAGCTTACCCACCTAGCCTGCACATCCCTGGACACTGTGGACAATTTAGCGAGGAAACCCAGAGGTAGAATGTGCAAACTCCACACAGACAGTCGCGCGAGGTTGGAATCAAACCAGGATCCCTGGTGCTGTGAGGCAGCGGTGCTACCCACCTGAGGCACCGTGCCACCCCGAAATTAGAGATGGTTAGAAATAGTTTCTCCCTATTTTCTATCAAAGCCCCTCAATTTTCACAAGGTTGTAGTGAGAGGCATCTTGGATTAGTTAAGCAATTTTATGCAGCATACTGCCTCGGCCTTTTTTTAAAAATGGGAGGAGATTCCACTCGAGGCACCCTCAGAAATGCAGAGCTGGACTTCATTTTTGCTGTTCTTTTGTCGTACAGAGGTATCAGAGGAATGTAGATCGCACCCCCTTTTGCACAGCAGTCAGCTTCCGAAAGTTAAAAGTCCAGGCAGTCACTTTGACAGTTGCTGCCAAACCATATGTACATGAGGGAAGTGTGATGCAAGGGTATTGACAGGGTACTGTACCAGATTGGTTGGTGCCAGGTAAGGATGGTGGTGGGGGGTGGGGGGAGGTTATATTTGGGGGTTGGGTCTGGCAGAAGGATTAGCTCCCTGGTGAGTTTGTGAGATGTACATACATATGGGATCTGGTTAATAGTTACTCAGGACTTACATGACGCATTTAATAGGTCAACATCTTCCTTAATTATTATTTTACTGATTTTGTTGGAACCCTCCATTTAAAATCGGAGACACTCAGGTGCTGAGAAATTGCCCAGTGGGAAATTCAATTTCTTGGGCAGTTCCTTCGGAATATGCTCCATTGGGAATTCCATAGGGTCCCCCTGTGCATTGGAATAACAACTGTCTGGCCAGCAGAAAATCCAAGCTTTTGTTTCCTAACCTTCTTAAACGGGGGAAAACAAACACAAATTAATGAAGGCTACACCAGCAGAGACAGAGATAAAACAGACAGATAAATGTTAGGAAATCACAACGACAGAGGATAGATTTTGTTCTTTGAGCCTGGCTGACACTCAGACTTAATGTGCCTATTAAGAGGAGTGATGTGTGCAATTTTCCTGACTTGGATTATTTGTGTAGCCCGAGGTCTTGATCCAGCTCCTAGGGAACCATGAGATAGAAGCAATGGTGGAGCTGCAAGTTGGAAAGCAAAACATCTTGAAGACCTCAAAGCCAAGAATATCATTACTGATGACGTTTGTTTGGATTGCTGTTTTTTTTTTATTTTAAGCCACCTTTGGGATCCTTGCAGAACCTCCAGATCCACGAGGACCCTGGTCTAAAGCCTTCTACTCAAGGAGGAGGAAAACCAAGCATGCTGTCTCCTGCCTACTGAAAGTTCAGTCCCACTGAGCATAGTCCAAGGAGGGCTGGGAGAAGGGAAAGGTGATGGGAAGGAACGAGTCCCTCTGTGTCCAGTTCTGGTCACCCAGTTGTAGGAAGGATATTATTAAGCTGGAGAGGGTTCAGAAGAGATTTACCAGGATGTTGCCAGGTATGGAAGGTTTGAGTTACAAAGAAAGGCTGGATAGGCTGGGACATTTTTCACTGGAGTGCAGGGGGTTGGAGAGGAGACCTTACAGAAGTTTATAAAGTAATGAGCGGTAAGATAGAGTTAATGGTAGGTTAATGGTAGGGACTTTTCCCTCGGATGGGAGATTTCAAGACTAGGGGACACATTTTTAAGGTGAGAGGAGAGGCATTTAAAAAAGACACGCATGAGCAGCAATTTTGTTTTTACACAGAGGGTGGTTTGTGTGTGGAATGAACTTCGTGAGGAAGTGGTGGATGTGGGCACAGTTACAATGTTTAAAAGAATCTTAGATAAATACATGAATAGGAAAGCTTTGGAGGGATATGGGCCAGGAGCAGGAAGATGGGACTAGTTTAGTTTGGGATTATGTTCGGCATATACTGATTGGACTGAAGGGTCTGTTTCTGTGAAGTACGACTCTATGACTTTATAACACTGAAATTCTTTTAGTTACTGTGCTAACAGTAGCAGCAGACATCCTGGAAAAGGTAAAGTTGAGATACAAGTCGACAAATGAGATCCCAATGATGATTTTGGGCTCTGGTCTGCAATAGGGATTCCAAATGAATGAAGAATCAACAACACACAAAGTAATGCGGAATATTGTAAAACAGTGAAGTGATTCCTCTGCCAACATTTTCTTTTTTAAGTGTCACACAAAGGGATTCTGAATGATTGACAGCATCCAGGAAAATAGCTACTTACCCCTCATAAGAGACAGTTAAACCAGCCACTTGAGAGTTCTCACAGCCCATTGCAAAAAACAAAAGCGTCATTAACCAACCCAGAAGGCCACTTCCAAGGACTAACTTCGCTGCTTGAACAATATTCAATTTGAACTTTTTCATCACAAATCCTCCCAAGAAAAATCCAAGGCACACTGCAGGGATATTTATGAGACCTGGATGAGTAAAGAGAGTGAATCGTCAAAGCATTTCAGGTTGAATGAGTAAAATATACAGTCTTGTACTATATCACAAAAATAACAGGTTGCCTGTTTATAGAGGTTTATAAAATCATGAGGGGCTTTGATAAGATGAGTTGCCAAAGTCTTTTCCCCAGGGTAGGGGAGTTCAAAGCAAGAGGGCAAAGGTTTAAGGTCAGAGGGGAATGATTCAAAAGGGCCCTGAGGGGTAAGTTTTTCACACAGAGGGTGGTGCATGTATGAAGTGAGCTGCCACAGCAAGTGTTGGAAGTGGCTATGATTACAACATTTAAAAGGCATCCGGGCAGGTACATGAATAGGAAAGGTTTAGAGGGATATCGGCCAAGAGGGGCTAGTTCACTTTAGGAAACTTGGTCAGTATGGACAAGTTGGACTAAAGGGTCAGTCTCCGCGCTGTGTGTCTCTATGATTCAATTTAGCACTGACACAGAAGGAACTTCTTCACTTTAGCACATTGCCATTTCAATGCTAATATTTCTGTCCTAGTTTCAGATTTTCAGTATCTGCAGTATTTTGCCTTTACATGGGATATGTGGATTCAGCAGATGGATCCAAGCGATGAACAAGCATGATGGGCTGAACAAAGAGGTTTCATTCTCTGTAGCAGCCAACAGTTTCAGAGAAATTTTAGCTTTGAAGTAAATTCAAGGAACAGTGTACATTTTTTAAGATTTTCTATCTGACTTTATTACAAAATCCTTCTCTCTTCTCGTGTCTTATTGCTGCCCTGTCTCCACTTTATTTGCACCTTTTTCAGTATTTTAGCTCACTTTTCACTCCTCTGTCTCTCCAGAGTTCACTAAACATCCCGTTGCTGTTTCATACCACACTTCTCTCACAGCTCATTGTAAAAGTCATTTCTTTTCTCTGCCTAGTTTTGCAATGGAGTTCAGTTGCCCTGATTGCTACATGGTATCTATGCGAACGCTGCTTTCAAATGCAGATCTCTTTCCTCCTCCAACCCGTCTCTTCATTCTGCATTTCCTCCGTCCCCATCCCTCAATTTATATTACAGCACAAGTGCCCCTCAAACTGTGCAACCCTGGATCTAGGAGATTCTTACTGAGGAAGGAGAAGATGCGTGGGGGGAAGAGAGTGTGAGTGAGAGAGAGAGAATGAGAGAGGGAAGAGAGAGAGTGAGAGATAGGGAGAGAAGGTATAAATCCATCAAGACAAGACTAAAAGTCCCAGTCACCAATCCCGGTATTCCTTATATCATGCTCAGACTGCTCCCTGCTATTTTTAAATACACACATTTTCCCTCAATTTTTCAATGGCTCTTAACATTTCCAAGTGTGATTGAGGCTATACATGATTTCTCACATAGCTATTACTGTACTGTCACCTAGTGTCTAACTATGGCGCTGCCATTTACTGTTTAAACCTGGCTGTGAATGCCTATGATGCTATAGCGGTGCAAAGGACTATAAATGGATGTAGGGGAGGACATAAAATAAAATAACTTTGCAACCATTCATAACTTAAGGAGAAACTCCAGGATCCCATTTAAAGGTGCATTTTCCCCCACCATTGCTACATGCAAATAAGGCTGTATTCTTTTTAAAAATGTCTCTCTATGTTCATAAACATGGGGCTACTTTAATATTCATCATTCTGCAGGTCAGCACTGGAGTGATTAGTACCCTCTGCTTTATCTTGGTCATGTGTCAGGCTTAACATCTATACAATATTAAGCACGCACCTCCTCCGAAAGGGTGGAACCATGTTTACTTACCTGAGGGGCCTCGACTGCACTTTTGTGGGGCAAGTGAAGGAAATAGGGCAAGCTTTCAAACTGTCCATCCCACAATTGAACTAGCAAGTCCAGGAATGCGATGCCTTCCCTATCCATAACCCATACCAGGGAAGATTGCTGAAAATGGGCATGGGCGCAAACTTCCTTGAATCAGCAATTTTTTTTTGAAAGAAATGCTCATGAGTCACCCATCTTGGCAGAAACACAAGACTCTGTCCCTAAAAATCCATGTCACGCAATTGGCAACCCAACGTCTTCCTGCGGTGAACGTGAACAATTTGTGCCATGCAGATTGTGTCATTGAGAAAAGGGAGAAAAATAAAAGAAACCAGTCACTTCCCTACAGTGAGAAAAAGAAGAGCTGGAACAAGTTTCAGTTCCCAAAACTAATGCACAATAATCCCAGATGACCACTCATTCCATCATCGCTGTACTGACAAATGTCTTCTGCCATCTGGTTTAGCTATTGTCTCAAAGAAATCATGGACATTGGCCTTATCACATGCCACAATAAAAGGAATGGATTATGGGACATTGTTTGGCTTAGATATGTAGGCAACAGAAGTACAAACCGATGAGGAAGTTGGATCTCGATGCCGACTGTCCATACTGCTGCTCAATGAACTTGGGTTTAAAGGTCAACATGCCAATTAGAGAATTCATATGCATGACTACTGACACCAAGTACAGGACGAAGCAGCTGTTTGAGAACAGTGCTTTCAATGATGAAAAGAAGCCTGGAAATGCAACATAAAAATTGTCCGTGTTATTTTTGATCAGCCAGTGAATGGACTCTCTGTCAGCAAAGAACACATTAAATCGATCATTCACACTTTAGGAACTTATTTCAATTATTTTGCAGCTCATTGTCGTGGAGTTTTGTGCTTCCTGGGAAGTCACAGTCACAAGTATACCACTAAGCCCCGCAGGTTCGTCCCATAATTCAATCAGAACACAGCTGACCTTTCATATACATGACCAACAAAAGTAAATCCGCCTCGCTCTTAAAAAATTCCAATCAACCCACAATTCAGAGTCTTTTCAGTGAGGGAGTTCCATATTTCTACTACTCTTCGGATAAAAATGGTCTACTGACTTCACACGAAGGGGAGGCAATGGCCTAGTGGTATTATCACTGGACTGTTCATCCAGACTCCCAGTTAATGTTCTGGGGGCCTGGGTTTGAATCATACCGCCTATATGGTGGAATTTGAATTCAATTTTTTTTAAAATCTGGAATTAAGAGTCTAATGATGACCATGAACCCATTGTCAATTGTCAGAAGAAAAACCCCATCTGGTTCATTAATGTCCTTTAGGGAAGGAAACTGCCATCCTTACCTTGTCTGGCCTACATGTGACTCCAGACCCACAAGCAACGTGGTTGAATCTTAACTGCCCTCTGAGCAATTTGGGATGGACAAGAAATGCTGCCCTAGTTAGTGACGTCCTCATCCGAGGAATGAATAAAGAAAAACGAAACACCAAAATGATCTAATTCAAATCCTGTTTCTCTATCTACCCTATGAAGTCTTTATATAACTTGAAGCAGCTCTACTAAATTGCCTCTCAAACTCCTCAACTCAGGAGAATACCAGGCACAACACCCTTCATTTCAAACTATATATCATCCTGGTGAATATTCCAGAAGGGGTCTGACTTAACCTGATGCAACCAAATAATGACTTCGTCCCTTTTCTAATCCATCCCCACTTTAAAATAATGACAAAGTTACAACTGGCTCTATGATTATCAACTACTTTTAAACAAACTGAGCCACCCCTCACAGACAAAAACTAAAGCTCTCTACTACTCAACAACTGAAACTGTCGCTCCCCCTCAACTAATCAGTAACTCAAGCGTTCCTCTCCCAGCCCCCATTCTGCCGAAACTCAAATAATTAACACTTTTGCCTGCACAATGACTGAAATCTCTCCCCTCTGCTCAACAGCTCTTGCTGTTGCTCTGGCTAAAATTTTTCACTTGAGGATCACCCACAAAGTCCAAGGCATTAAAATGGGGTCACACCAAGAAATGGTTTCTGAATCACAACTCTAAACTTTAGCTCAATGCTTCAGACCATTGTTCAACAATGTGAGCAGAGCAAAATCTGTCTGAAAATATAATTACAAAGCATCACAAGAACTGGCCTTGGGAATCTTGTCAACAATGTCAGAAAATTAAATATGATTTTCCTCTTTGCTATCTCACATTGACTGCCCTTACCCAAGCTTGACATCTGCTCCCCACCCCCCGCCAAGTTTAACAATAAGAAAAATATGAAATCCTGGAAACTGTAACATGACAGTCGTCACTCATCAAGGTAATTCATTGATACATTAAAGCATGTAATCCTCAATCAGCTCTGATGGAAGAGTTGCCATTAATGTCATTAAGGTCATCAACGTGTAAATACTCTGATTAAATGTTAATTGATCTGCTGTTAATTTCTATGACATTTCCAGGTAAACTACTAATTTTCAAAATCGACATTTCTGAACATTTCAATAATTGAGGTTAAAACTGAAGTAGCCAAAAAATGCTTCTTCCCTAGATTTTGAATTGTTAAATTTTGCCATGACAAAATGACAATGAATGATGTCAGTAAGGAATTCCAAAGGTAAAAAAAGACATGAGCTCACTGTAATGAGTTTTCCTCAGCACCAGACTTGTAATTTTAATGAGGGAAATGGAGGTCTGCTCAGGGGAAATCTGATCTTAACATGTCACTACAGGTCAATGGAGACCCAAGTAATGGGGACAATATGCCACACTAGTGAGACATCAGTTCTGCAAGAGGGACGCTGGTTCTTCTGGTGTTCCCCTCATAGCAACCACCACGTTGATGAATGCTTACAATACACAGCAAGACCAGAATTTTAATCCTGACCTATCTCCCCACAACTCACACCTCACAGCATTCCCCATCCCCAAGTGGGCTTCCAAGAGCGGGTGAGGTTTGAAGTCAGGTGGCATGGAAGGACTATACACATTTGTCTCCACTGGAATTTTAACAGTGAACTAGACAGTGGGCAACCTATTTGTTACTGGTCACTTAAAGGCCTCATCCCATCACATTTTCGTCTCAGTCTCACCTTAGTGTTAGAAGCTTGTGAAACAAACCCCACCCACTCAGAGCAATTAACTAAAGCTGTTAGTCTCATGCAGTTTCCAAGAAGTGAACTGGGCAGAAGCACTATCTTTTGGATGTCATGTTAAATCAAAGCCCCATTTGACTCGTACTGAAACAGTGTAGTTGAGTTCTTCAGTTATCTTGGCTGATATATCTCCCTCTACCAATACTTTAAATAAATGATCTGGTCATTTATCTAATTGTTGTTTATGGGATAAAGCTACATGAAAATGGATCATTGGCTTGAACATAAAATACTCAATTGATTATAGATGTTTGAAATTATTCAAAGATAATTTTTAAATACATATTTGATTAATAGGAAAACACACATCATAATGAAAAAAATCCCAAAGGTAGCTTATTGATTGAAGCAATTGATAGATATGGTCGTAAAAATTAGTCGAATTTTTGAGACTCGCCCTGATCCACTTGTGAAATTTTTGGTTTCGGAACGTTCCTTGCAGGTTCACTTTGATCCAGTTTGAGGAAATCCATCTTTTCAGAGGCTTTGCCAAGTTCCTTTTTACTTGTCTCTCTGGGTATAGACTTTGGAAAGAACCAGAATGGTATGGAAAAAAGGAGCGAAAATGTGCCGGCAATTAGAAACCCAAGCCACCAGGCACCGACCCATCTTGCATCCTTTGACGTGATTGTAACTCTCTCTGGAAAACAGATGTTGAAGGGCATGTTATTCTGGAGATACTGTTACATTGTTCTATTATTCAAGGAAAATAAGGAACTGTACTGTAATGCATGTACATTTTGTATAGTCAGAATGCCATATTATTCACTGTTGCACAACAGTCAGTGTATCAAAGCAACGAGTGTTTTTCCACAGTATATAGCATAAAAACAGATCCTTTGGTCCAATACATGGGCGCCAACCAGTCACCTCAATCTGACCTAGTCCCATTTGCCAGCATTTGGTCCATTTCCCTTTAAAACCTTCCTACGCATGTACCGATCCAGACGCCTTTTAAATATTACAATTATACCAGCCTCCACCACTTCCTCTGGCAGCTCACTCCATACACACACCATACTCTGCGTGAACAATTTGCCCCCTCAGGTCCTTTTTAAATCATTCCCCTCTCACCTTAAACCTATGCTCTCTAGTTTTGGACTCCCCAACCCCAGGAAAAAGACCTTGGCTATTTACCCTATCCATGCCCCGATGATTTTATAAACCTCTATAAAGTCAACCCTCAGTTTCTGACACTCCGGGGAAAATAGCCCCAGCCTCTCCCTATAGCTCAAACCCTCCAGTCCCGGCAACATTCTTGTAAGTCTTTTCTGCACCCTCTCAAGTTGAAGAACATCTTTCCTATAGCAGGGAGACCGGAATTGTACACAGTATTCCGAAAGTGGCCTCACTATTGTCCTGTACAGCCACAACATGCATCATAGCTCCTATACTCAATGTTCTGACCAATGAAGGCAAGCATGCCAAATGTCTTCTTCACCACCCTGTCAACCTGCAACTCCACTTTCAAGGAACTACGTACCTGCACCCCACGTCTCTTTGTTCGACAATATTCCCCATTAACTGTATAAGTCCTACCCTGATTTGCCTTGCCAAAATACAACATCTCACATTTATCAAAACTAAACTCCATCTGCCACTCCTTGGCCCATCTGATGAAGGTCCCATTGTACTCTGAGATAATCTTCTTCAAAGTCCACTACACCAACCCTACATTTCTCATGGCTAATCCACCTAGCATACACATCCCTGGACACTATGGGCAATTTAGCATGCCCAATCCACCTAACGAGCACATCTTTGGACTGTGGGAGGAAACCAGGCCATGAGCAGAAATCCACGCAGACACAGGGAGAACATACAAACTCCACACAGTCACCCAAGCCTGGAATTGGACCCGTGTCCCTGGCACTATGAAGCAGCAGTGCTAACCACTGAGCCACCGTGTCACCCAAGATGGGGCATATTAAAAACCTTAATTATTTACATTGTTATAATATCACAGATTTGTTCATAATCTGGGTTTGATGCTTACTGAAGTCACTGGAAACTGCATACACACAATTGACAGAACAAACACGAATTAAAGCAAAACACTACAGATGCTGGAAGCTAGAAATAAAAACAGAAATTTCTGGAGAAATTCAGCAGATCTGTCAGTATTTGTACAGAGAGAAACAAAATTATTTTTTCAGCCCAAAGACTCTTCCTTGGAACTGAAGGTGACTGGAAAATAATCATTCTTATGCTGTTAAAGGGGAAGGAGGTATCAGTGGAATAGACAATGTGTATGTCCAGAGCAAAAGACAAAAGGGAGTGCTAATAGTGGTAAGGGAGAGATTGAGATCCAAAATAGGTGTTAATTGTTGTTTGAATAGGGGAAAAAGAACAGGTCAGATCTGCTAAGAGCAAGCAAAGATGAAAACAAGATGCAGGGGCTGGGGTGTGGGTGGTACGGTAATTAAAAGGGAGGACAGTTTCACACTCTGAAGTTGTTGAACTCAGTGCTGAAGTTTATTCTCACTTATTTACCCTCAAATGATTATATTCCTTAAGGTGGAGGTGCCAGTGTTGGACGGGGTGGAAAAAGTCAGAAGTTACACGACACCAGGTTATAGTCCAACAGGTTTATCTGAAATCACAAGCTTTCAGAGCTCTGGTCCTTCAGGTGAAGTGACTTCGACGCAGAGCTCCGAAAGCTTGTGATTTCAAATAAACTTGTGGGTCTATAAACTGGTGTCGTGTGACTTCTGACTACATTCCCTAAAGCATCCCCCTTGTAAGCAGATTACTTTTCCCTTCATAGCGACTCTTAAAGCCAGCTTCAATATGGCCCGTGAGCTGGCTTGCATTATACATGGACAGTAGATACTACACAGGAATATGAGGCTTTATATAATAATGGTCAGGTATGCACCACAGCCATTTTACCTGACAAACACCCAAATACAACAATGAGAAGGAAAAATCTCTTTAAAATTTCCTTACCTAAGTCAACAAATCCAATGTCAACAAACAGCTTGGCACAAAACGATCCCAATAAATATCCAAACAATGGGCCTATCAGGGCCACCGTATACAAAATTCCTAAAACACGACAAAAAAAATTTCTCAAAATGCTGTCTGAAAACTCACAATATTTGAGTTGTTCGTATCAACTTCACATTACCTATATAGAAAGAAGCATTTTCCTGTGTGGCAAAATCATCAAGATATGATATGCCCAGCGGTCCAGTCGGTGTTTCACCAATCCCCCGCAAAAGATTTCCGAGGAATACATATATCCACATGGAGGAACCTGCCACTTTTTCACAACCTGAAACTAAATGTCAGGCACGTCAGAAAACATTCTGTTTGTAACATGGTTCAAAATAGATCAATGATGTTCAACGTAATCCATTGGTGTATTTATCGGGAAGGAGCTTACCTGAAGGGCTTTCCTCAGGTGCTGTGGTTGTCAGATCTTTTGATGTGTTTGAGCACTGGGAGGTGATCATGGTCAAATTGCTTGAAAATGTAAGTGCGGTTTCATAGTCGTAACTGGAACAAGCAGAAGCGTTATCGGCTTAATGCATATGGCATGGATGATATGCATTAAGTGTATATGCAGTGAAAGCAAGACTGATGTTAGGAGAAATGTTTATGCTCCCAGTAAAGTTGCATTTAAAGGGAACAGAAACCTCACATAAATATAACACTCACTTATTATGCCATACACACCCAAATAGAGCATTCATGCGTTATATTATGATCTTTGTTGAAATAATGGAGAGGTTAGATGATGGCAGTTCAATTGATGTATATGCGGAATTTTAAAAAAACAATAAACTACAGCCTAATATACTGATTAGCAAAAATGATATCTGTAGAATTAAAGGGAGAGTGACTGCATGGATACAAAATTGGCTAAGGGACAGAAATCAGGCAGCATTGTTTTTCAGGAAGTATAGAGTGAGGACTACTCCTTTTGCTACATAATAATGTTTTGGCTTTGGATATACAGAGCATAATTTCAAAGCTTGTATTTGATATAAACTCACAAACCTTGAGGAAAGTCTTAAGCCCCAGGATGACAGACACAGGCTGGGGAGAGGGGCAGATACTCAGAAGAAATTGAATTCAGTGAACTGATACATTTTAGTAGGAAAAGGGATGTAGAATAATAGAAAGTAAATGAAACAGAAAGAGAAATCTGGGCCTGTATGTACACAAGTCTTCGAAGATGATTGGTCACTTTGTAAACGTTGTTGAAAAATGTCATGATGATGGATCAGAACTCTGAAGAACGACAGACATTTTTCATACTTTTAATTTCAAAATGCATTTTTCTTTCAAAAGAAAGATCGCTACAGGCAAAAATGAGCTGCAGAAGTAAACTCAATGCCAGCTGGCAAAATCCTGCGTGGAATTCACTGAATGTCACACTTCTAGAGTCAGAGTCATGCAACACAGAAACAGACCCTTCGGTCCAACCAGTCTATGCTGACCATAATCTCAAATTAAACTAGTCCCATCTGCCTGCATTTGACCCACATCCCTCCAAACATTTCTTATTCATGTACTCATTCAAACGTCTTTTAAACATTGTAACTATACCCACATCCACCACTCCCTCTGGAAGTTCATTCCAAATGTGAACTATTCTCTGTGTAAAAAAAATTTGCACCTCATGTCTTTATATCTTTGTCCTCTCATCTTAAAAAAAGTCCCTAGTCTTGAAATCCTCCACCCTAAGGTAAAAAAAACCTACCATTCATGTTATCTATACCCCTCATAATTTTATAAACCTCTATAAGGTCACCCCT